CCGGCAAGTCTGGTCATTCCCCAGAGGCCTGGGGTGACTCAGAGAGGATTCAGACACCTGGTGCATTCTGAACAATCTGTAGCAGGAAGTGTCAGTGAGAAGACGCTCACCAGAAATGCAGTAATGAATGACAGAAGGACTGAAAAGTCGGTGTTCTTTGCAAAACAGAAGCCAGAGCCGGCCGCTCACCTGCTCCCCGGGTTTGCAGGCAAAGGTCTTAACCCCATTTGGCATCCAGGCCCTTCCTGACGGTGGCCCAGTCCCCATGCAGCAGCCCAGCTCCTGTCTTTGCTCTTAAAGTTCCAGCCACGGTGAACTACGTACTCTTCTCTTAATTCACCCTCCTCTGCGTTTCTCTTGGCTGTTTTCCACGTTATCCGTGTGCCTGCATGGACTCTCCTGTGTGTGCCACCTTCTCCCACGTGCTCGGAGCCTGTCGCACGTCCACCTATAACGCTGCTCTGCGTGTAGGGGGAGAGTCACCTGTGTGTCCAGTGGTTGAGTCCCTCATGGGTGTTGGGCTCTGTGAGAGCAGGGCAGGAACGAGGTCTCTAGGCCTTTCCTTCTCTGTTCCTGGCACAGAGCCTGGTCTTTGTGTCACTGAACGGGGAGAAGGGTATGCAGTCACCACGCAGTGATAAAGCATTCCCAGCGTGCCAGGCACTTGATAGGATTCCTCTGCAGCATATGTGAAGCCCTTCGCACAGTGCGCAGACAGCACCAGTAGCCATCAGTTCTTGTTAATAATGACGTGCACCAGGTTGCTTTGCTAGCAAGGGGTAGAGGAGGCTTTGAACCCAGGTTTGTCTGAGAACAAGAGCTCTTTCTGACTCTGATTGATGCTCATGCCCCCACCCCAGGGTGCCTCAGCCTTGAATAGCAAGGAAAACACCCCACAGACAAAAAGCTCCCAAAGGTGGGATGCACCCATCACTCCCTGGCCTCCCTGAGCCCTCAGGAACAAGACCCTTTTTAGCTGCTGGGCAAGGGCTGGTGTTTCAAATGAATACAGCAGTGTCCGCCTCACCTGTAAATGATGCTTTCTCCAGGGGCTGACTTGAGTATAGCCATCTATGTTAATGTATTCAGTAGCCAATTCCCATGCAAGCTTGGTTGAAAAAAAATATCTTTTTATCAAGGCTGGAAGAGTTATTAGAAAATATGTGAAGCTTTTCTGTAAATCAGACTATTATAATCAGTGGATAATATTTAGAAGTAAATACATCAAATTAGATTCTTGAGTATGAGACTGGGTCTGGTGACTGTCTCCAGTGCTATGCTGTCTGCTAATGAGAGAACCTATGACAGAATTTATTGTGAAGAATATTATTACAAATATATGATTGCATATGTTTTCACAGACCTCTAGGAGAAGATGTAAATTCCCCATTTTCCTCCTCATTTTTCCCTTCTCTCCTCCCCCCCTCTGCCTCCCACACATGAATGAAATAGATTTGCAACAAAAGGGAATCATTGTCAGATTAGTTGCATTCATTCCACTCCCTGGCTTTCAGGTGCATTTGAGAAGGCAGAGCATCTGGATTTAGCCTTGCCTTTCCCCTTCCACTCTTGTCTAAACAAAGTCAGTTTCTAGCATCAGCTGACAAGCCAAGTTATCACATACAGTCCAATCCCTCCAGGGCCCTTCCACTTTTCTTAGTAGCCATTTTTCAGCAAAACCACATTGTGCTTGGGTGTTGCTGGCCTGGGCTGCAGCCTGTCTCAAAATTCCAGCTCTGGAATGCTGACCAAGCTCTACTCTCTGGCCTTCGCAGAAAGCTGGCCGGGGGGTAGGGGGGCTGGCGGGGGGCGGGGGGGGGCGGGCGGCGCTCATCTACATGCCCAGGTGCATGCAATTGCCCAACTGTGTGTACCATTTCACCAGCAGTAAAAGTCCAGGAGGGAAATTAATGCTAAAATTAGTTTGTCCTTTGAGAAGATCCCCCGAGTTGAAAGTTTTTTATCTGTATGCCCTCAAAGACTTTACTGAAATCTTGCTTCATGACACAAGGTTGTGTTTTGGTCCTTGGAAGGACATTGGTTCTAGAAGGTCTAGCCTCTGGCAGAGTTGCTGCATTTGGGTGCAGGTGTTTCTTTCTGTATGTGCCAGCTGTAGGATGTGGGCATGTAGCCCCCCGCTGGACCCTGAGTCGCTACATCTGGTGGGTGGGTGGGTGGGTGGGTAGATAGATGGGTAGGCTGACAGGTAGTTTAATTTGCTTTGCCATGTGTCTTAGATGTCAAGTTTGCTGACATTTAAGAGGAAGAAAAAGCTATAATTGCTGTCCTTCCAAAAAGTTTTGGCTAAATCCCATCCAATGACTATATCTTGGGGCTTCATTCATTCAGCAAAAACCGGTATTTAGTAAGCACTTAGAATGTGCTAGCACATGCGGTGGTGATTTGAAGAGAATAAGAACAGTCCCTGCCTTCAAGGAGGTGACTGCCTTATGTGGGAAAGGCAAGCATTAAAAGGTAATCAAACAAAGAATTGTTTAACTATTGCTATCAGTTTTTTAAAATTGAGATTCAATATTATATACCAATAAAAATGCACCATTTCTAAAAAAGGTTTTATTTGTTTGTTTTAGAGAGACAGAAAGGGAAGGAGAAAGAGAGGGAGAGAAACATCAATGTGTGAGATACATCATCTGTTTGCTTCTCATACCCCGCAACCACGGGCCTGGCCTGCAACCCAGGCACGTGCCCTGACCAGAAGCTGAACCAGCAACCTTTCACTCTGCAGGCTGGTGCTCAGTCCGCTGAGCCACACCAGCCAGGGCAGATTCGTGATTTAAAGTACAAAATTCACTGTTATTTATTTATTTATTTATTTATTTATTTATTTATTTAGGCTTAAACAACAAAACATTTATTTCTGACACTTCTGGAGTTTGGGAAGTTTAAAATCAAGCTGCCTGAAGATTCAGTTCTTGATTCTTGGTGACAGCCGCTTCCTGGCTTGCCATCAGCCCTCTCTTTGCTGTCTCCTCACGTGGCGGAGAGAGAGCTCTCCTCTCTTTCTCGTTTTATAAGGACACTGGTCCCATTAGGGGGTCTCTACCCTCATAACCTCATTTAACCCTAATTACTGTCCAAAGGCTCCACGTCCAAATCCTATCACATAGGGAGGGCTTCTTCAGTATATGGATTTTGGGAGAACACAAAACTTTTAGGCCATATTATTTTCCTTATGTCTTTTGTAAGAGTGAAACAACTTTCCCAGAAGTAGACTTGGCATCACTAGCCAAATTTGGACAGTACAACCCATTTCTAAACTAGTCAGTGGTAAGAGGTGTAGACAGACGTCCTGTGGTTGGCTTAGACTAGCCAGGATTCATGGCCCTGTCTCTCCTGGAGAAGAACGGAGTGAGTGTTCTGTTGTCCAGGGAGGGGTGTGGACTGCGAAGGCAGTTTCAGTGGTTTTCAGTGTACTCACAGAGCGCTTTTTGTTTTCAGCACGGTACAATGGAATGAAAAATTCAGTCTTTGCTGCTGCTGCTTTGTTGGCATAACCACAGTCTGATGCTGGTTCGACGGACTCCCAACAGTTTCTGTTACGTTGGCATTGCATCGTCTGTGGTCATTCATGGCTTAACTGGGGGACAAGGCGGGCATCAGAGAAGTTCAGTTCAGACGTGTCCTCCTGGAAGCCGCTCTAAGGGGACGTTCTTTTGGCCCGTACCGGAGGCTCCTTCTCCCCCACGGTGGCTCCAGGGAGAACGTCCTTCTCTGACCCTAACTTGAACTCTCTGGTTCCCGGCAACTTCCACAGCATCTTACAGTTCCATCTTCCTACGAATGTATCTATCCCAAAAGTTCCCAAGTGAGGGGGGTGGGGAATTCAAGGACTGAAAACCATCGGGATCTACCCCTTGTATTCCAAAGCTAAAATATTCAGTGCTGTGAAACATTTCATGATGCAGCTCAGCTGCCAGTTTCAGGAAAAGAAACTACTCACGGGTCTTCTTACTTGACTTGAAATGTATAACACAATTTCAGACGCCCCGAAAGCCTTTCTCATGGGACCCATGTGGGAATCACAGGGACCTGAGTTTGGTTTCTTGCTCTGCTGTCCTGTTCTCCCCTCAAGAGCGGGTAGTAGCACAGCAGTCTCCTTGACTGCATGTTGCGAAGGAGCCGAGGTGGATAGGTAAAGCTGCTTTGGACCTGAACTACCTCCTACTCACAGCTAAGGTCTCAGGAGCTGGTCCGGTCTGCGGATCGTCAGCCGTCTGCACAGAAAGCTCCAGGGTCACCCCCTTCCCTGGACAGCACCGATTTCTTCAGAAGATAGTTTCATGACAACCACCCAAATGCACTGTTATCAAAGGTGAAATGCACAGTCTACAGATACTTCAAGATGACAACAGTCCTAATAATGGCTTTCATTGACACGGTGCAATGCAAGTTGCAGAGCACTTTTCCTGTGCCTTATCTCACTAATTTTCCTGTTTGCCTTGCGACGCAGGAAGGCCGTGGTATATTCCCATAGTTTAAATGAAAAACCCAGAGAAGAGACCTGCCTGTGATGGCAAAGGTGACTCTTGGATCCTCTGTCTTTCCTTTCTGCCCCTTAAAAGCTTGCCTGCACCCTCCACTGCCCTGTTTTATGCCCAGTATTTGTCCCTATGATTTCCTTGGGACTTGCCAGTTTCATTCTCTCAGGTGAAACACCTACTTGTATAGGTGCTGACGTTAAAAAACAATGTCGTGAATACATTTGATATTTAATGTTATTCACTAGTTAGTGCCCCTCAGCTTCATAGATTCCTGTGAGTCTGCTAAGCTGAGTTCTGTTTTTGCTACCAAGCTGGTGATCCTTGGGTTGAGTCAGCTGTGGCGTTGGCCCGAGGCTGTGATGAGTGACAGAGTTTCGGGAAAGCCTCAGTCCCTTCCCCTTCGAGCACAGGATGGCCACACAGGGCTTCTGGATGTGAACAACAAGACTGTACAGGACTTGCCTTTGACCATACCTTTGCATCCTCCTCCTTCTAAAGGTACATGACTGATGGTGGACTTGGCCTCTACACCCGTCGCCTGAACCGGCTCCCTGATGGGATGGCTGTGGTGCGGGAGACCCTGCAGAGAAACACCTCCTTGGGCCTCGGGGATGCTGACAGGTAAGCTTGCTTCACCTGGGCCTGTCCAGGTTCAGAGGGCATTTCACAGTGACCTGCGGAATGAGGGCAGTGATACTTGGAGTGATGGTGCTGCTTTAACCATGCAGAGGTTGGGAGGCCCTGAGGCCACGCCTGGGGTTGGCAGCTGGCACAGCAGGAGGGAGAGGGCTGCTGAAGGGCTGAGTCCTGCTCTGCTGGGGCGCTGCTTCTGAGTAGTTTCTGTTGTTGTTTTGACTGTTGCTATGCATCTTTGTCAGTTCAGCAGGCCCCGGGGATCTGCTTGGCTTCCCAGAAAGCTGTTAGGCAGCTTTCTAGGTACTGCACCTCGGAACAGAGTCCCTGGTGGTGCACAGGAGGTCTGTGTGCACATGGGAGCTCTCCCGGCCTTGGCGGAGCTGGCTTCACCTTCAGTCTGCTGTTACTTGGTAACAGGAGGCAAGGCTGAAGTGCGGAGGCTGTAGAGCGGAGCAGGTGAGGTTATGGTGCTGAACCGGTCTTCATTGCAGCTGCTGTCAGAGATGCAAAGAGCTCCAGAAAATACTGTAAGAAAGAAGAATATTTGGCATCCACATTTCTAGTCCTTGCTCGGATGCAAACCTGTTCGGTGACCATGAGCAGTCTCTTAAAGAAGAGGTTTGGGCTGTCAGGACCCCCAGGACCTCTGCGAGCTGTGATGTGCTGTGTTTCTAGATTTCAGGGCCCCTTGGTGATCTATCTGTTGAAGGATTTTTCTGGCACACTTGATTGGCCTCTGTCCACGTCTGGGTTCATGTGATGCTACGTGGATTTTGGTGTGAGGGGTTGGCAGTCCCTGTACTCTTTCGGGGGCTGCACCTCCTGTGTCGGAAAGCCAGGTGTTTGCAGCCCAAGTCCAGCTTCCTGTTCCCGTAGCAGGGCGCGCTGTTTACAAGGAGATGGGTGATTTCCATGGTTCTCTGGCTTCAGAGAAATGGGGCAGCCTACTAAAGAGACAAACACTGAAGTCACCCCAGAAATGGCATTTGCTGAAGAGCTCTCTCTCCTCACGATCTCGCAGGGAAGCCTGGGAAGCCTAGGCTGAAGTAGGAAGCACTGAATCAGTTGTCAGGAACTTGGGATCTGGCCCGGGCTCTGCCACGGACTTGAATGCGTCCCTCTCAGAGTCCCCTGTGTCCAGTGTGGTGATTTATACTGGAGACGACAAAAGGCTTTCCACTGCAGCACCAGCTCCAGTCCGTTTTGTTCCTGTAAATTATTTTTTTAAAGTATTGGTTTGGGGATTTCACAGAAAGATGAACCACTGGAGAACTCTTCCTAAAGCTGAAGCTCTCTATAACTAAAATATTTAGAGGAAATATTATCAGGGGTAAAAAAATCAGTTGCTGTAACACCCTCTCTGGAGATGTCACAACACCGGCCAATTATTTGGCTTGTTTGCGTTCTCCTGTAAACATGTGGTTGGTTGGTAAATCGATCGGCATGAAGTGCAGGCCTTCTGAGGTTCGTTTCCCCTTCTAGCAGGGGAAGAGTCTGTGCCAGGCTGTTTAATTTAGTGCTTTGTTGCAGGGTTAATGGAATTATCACAGATCACAGCTGAGCTTGTTTCTGCTTTTGGAGGTGGAGGCACTGGGTGGGGGCTGGGAAGAAGAGCTCTGCCGGTTGTATTTTTTCTAGATCAGCCCATATAGTGGGCCACACGGAAGTGTCTTCTGGTTCTCCCCCGACGGACACGGCTCAGATGTGATCGTGTAAGACTAAGTGGATGACAGACCAGCTTTTAAAGAAAGAATTCAGGTGGCTTTTTTTTTTTAATGAAAAGGGTTTAATAATACTTATAAATTTCCTATTTTATATAGGTTTTGACCTGTAGGCAGGGAGACATTGTGCATTATTCTGGAATAAGTTAAATATCTTTAATCTCCAAAATTATTGTAAATAGACCAAAGAAATGCTTCATCTTTGGCTAAGTTGAAATAGCATTTGATTTGTTTCTGTAAAGTTCTTCATGTAAATCTCTCCCCAAACTGTCCTCAAGTGGGAGGTTTACATTAGTCATATAGGAAATAATTCTAGATGGTAGACAGGGAAATACTTCTTTTTAACAATTACATTTTAGCCCTGGCCAGGTAGCTCTGTCGGTTAGAGCATTGTCCTGTACACCAAAAGGTTGTGAGTTCAATCCCTAGTCAGGGCACAAGGGGAAGCAACTAATCAATATTTCTCTCTCACATCGATGTTTCTCTCTCTCTCTCTCTCTCTCTCTTCTCTTTCTCTAGAATCAATAAAGCATATCCTTGGGTGAGGATTTAAAAAAAATTTCACTTTAATTTTAATATTTTAAAGTTTAATATTTTAAAATATTTTAAAAAGTTAATATTTTAAATATAATGAAATATAATATTTTATAATATTTCATCATATTACATAAAACCCATGATTTTACAAACATTGCTTAGGGTAAGGATAGTATAGGCTATTTCATGTGAAATATCAAGGAAGAATATCACAGACTGTGTGCAGATATATTATTTTTTTTAAGGTAGTGTGCAGATGTCTGCACACTGCTGGTTAGGCAATTCTATTCTTGTTCCAATAATTGGAAATATGTTCTTTAAATAACTTAAAATAGACATATGGAAAAATACAGAGAACCCAGCACCTCTCCAGAATCCTTCCCTTTTAACCTGAAAAAAAAAAAAGAAGGTCCCAGAGCTGAGATATTTCCAGAAAGTTCCTTATATAAAAGACAACTGGCCTGTAAGGATTCGGACACAAGCAACAGACTGGTTCTACAAAGGAAATGGGAAAAGTACTGAGAGGTGAGACCTGATTAGACCTCAGCTGAGGGAAGACAAGCAGGCAAAGTGCAGATCACCTCCCCGTGCCTGCAGGAAAACCATTAACCTCAGCAGTGCCACTCCGGCTCCAGCTCTGGCTCGGGCTCCGGCTCCAGCTCCAGCCCCAGGGAACAGCCCTGCAGGACACTGACCTGCCACACAGACCCCGGCTGTTTGCAGCAGGCTGTGGCTGGGTTATCTCCAGGGTTATTAAAAGTAACTGATAGCAGTGTGTACCTCCCGAGCCCAAGAAGTAGAGACCATGTCAGCTTGTGAGTCTCTGTGTCACCAGCAGCCTCTGAGAAATAATAAATAACGACAGTAAATCCAGATTGCCAAGTCTGTCCTCGATCTCCTGTCACTCCTCAGGGCTGCCACCCCTGGGCTCCAGTTTTTACCTGACAGTCGCCAGAGGCTACTTCCAGGCAACGAGAGGCAGCCGGCTGAGAAGGGAGCATCAAAGGGGACAAGTCGAAGTGGCTTATTACAAGACATAGGCCCCAGATAACAGACAAGCAAAGAGAACTTTAGCGTGGAGGTCTCTGAACAGACAGCCTGGGAAGAAAAAGAAATACGCCCAGCAGGGCCGAGGGGCTGGGATCCCAGACCATCAAAGGGTTTGTGTCCCCTCATTACCCGTCGGGAGTTCTTGAACTCTGGTGAACTGCGTGTTTGCAAAGCCTACAGTGCAGCTCTGGGGAAGTTTCCACTCCTGAGTCCCTTTCTTTGTCCTTGCAAGTCACCCCTGTGCTCGTGGCCCTTTCTGTCATCACCCTCCGGCTTCAGCATGCGGTGTGCACAGGCAGCTACATGCTCTGCCTAAATGGCACCCTTGGGTCATGGAAGTATCATAGAGAGCACCTGGAGGGCTGCAGTCAGGCTTGCCAAGGGCGTTTGATCAGGAGGGGGACTTTGGAATTACTTGGTACCTTGCTTCTCCAGGGGTGTCCCTGGGGCACATTGGAAGAAGAGTTGTCTTGGGCCACACATTAAACACCTTGCGACATATAATCACCAAAAAAGTCTCATAATGTTTTAAGTAAATTTATGGTTCTGTGTTGGGCCGCATTCACAGCCATCCTGAGCTGCATGCAGCCTGCGTGCACACTGCAGGTTGGATACCCCTGGTAACTAAACCATTACAACGTCCCTGACCTGACCAGTGTGGCTCAGCTGGTTGGACGTTGTCCCTCAAGATGAAAAGTCGCTGGCTGGATTCCCTGTCAGAGCACAGGCCTGGGCTGCAGGTTTGGTTCCCAGGTCAGGGCCCATGCAAAAGGCAATGGATTAATGGGTCTCTCTCACATCAATGTTTCTCTCCCCCTCTTTTTCCCTCCCTTCCCCTCTCTCTAAAAAGAAATACAATCTTTAAAAAAATTTAAACATTAGAATTCTTATTGAACTTAAGTGGCTTTTAATGATTTAGGTAGTGACAAAGCAAAACAACTAATGCTGCGTGGTAAACCATCAGCCTGAGACTTGAACAGAATCTAAATTGCCCACTAACATGATGCCAAGGAACTGAGCAGGAAGGAGAAATCGTTTTTCCCCCCTGCTGTTACTAGGTTGTCTTTGTCCCCCAACCCTGAATGTTTCAGGTATTGAGTCTGCCCTCGCAGTAGGATTCTGTCCCTGCACTGCCTCTGCTGTCTGCATTTGGAGCCCTAGCTGTCCCACTTTCGGCTTGAATTGGGAGTCCCATGGGGTGAGGATGTAACTATGCAACCTAGCATTTGACCAGCCTGCCAAGCTGAGCCCTCCTTCCTTGCAGGGAGAGTCACAAGAACCCAGGGCGCCACTTGGCTTTGTGATCTGTGTGGAACAAGGCGGCCTCCTGGCACCAAGCACTGCATTCACAGATTCAGGCCCGACCTGCAGAGAGGAATTTAATCCAGGCCAGAGGTCTCCAGCCTGCAGATGGAATTGTTGGGAGCCCTTGCCAGGTAGTAGCCCCCCAACCCAGTGATTGGTTAGTCACAGCCTCTGCTGGAATGTGCGGACGAGAAGGAACACCAATGGGAGTGGCTTCTCCGATGGCCTACCTTCCAAGCCTGTGGCAGCAGAATAATGCACCCTCTGCCCCCAAGGCATCCATGGCCTGGTCTCCAGAACCTGGGGATATCTTACGCTACCTGGCCAGGGAGAATTAAGGACCCCTGTGAGAAGTACACCAAGTGAAGGCGG